TGTCCTGTTCCAGGGGGATTTGTCCTTGTCCTGCTCCAGGACGGATTTGTCCTTGTTCTGCTCCGGGACGGATTTGTCCTTGTCCTGCTCCGGGGGGGAATTGTCCTTGTCCTGCTCTGGGACGGATCTGTCCTTGTCCTGCTCCGTGGGTATTTGTCCTTGTCCTGCTCTGAGGAGGATTTATCCTTGTCCTGCTCCAGGGGGATTTGTCCTTGTCCTGCTCCAGGGGGATTTGTCCTCATCCCGCTCCATGGGGACGGGCTGTCCGGGCCTGCGCAGGAGCTTCCATTCCTCGGCTCCCGGGTCCCCGTGGGTGCCGCGCGGCTGCGGCTGCAGGCACCTTTGGGTGTTTGTTAACCAGCTGCTCCCCCAAATCCAGGATTCTCCCGGGACCACCGGGATGAGCTGCTGGAGGGCCTGCAGGCTCTCAAGAAAGGCCTGGAGGAGCCCGACTTCACCGTCCTCTTCCACACCTGCAACAACATCGCCACGGTAGGGCCAGGGTCCGGCACGCCGGGCGCGCGGCGGGTGCCACCGGGGACCCGCCAGGACGCGGCCGGCGCTCGGGGTGACCCTGCGTGTGCAGGGGGTGGCGCTGGGTGATCCCTAAAGGTCCCTGCCAACCTTGAGGGTCCTGTCATTCCATGAGCCCCGCGCTGGCACCGTGGCCCCCCCAAGTCCTTGCGGGTCCCCGTGGTGGCCCTTGCTCCTCTCCGCGCTGTGCTGAGCTCCGGGCTGGGGTTGGCATGCACGGGGGCTGCGCGGGGTGCAGCGGAGGGGGGTCCCGCACCCAGCACCCCCTCCTCGCACCCGGCCAGGTCATCGGCAAGCGCGTGCCCCCCGAGCAGCTCATGAGCCTGCTGCTGGCCATGTTCGACGGGCTCGCCGACCCCGACAAGAACTGCTCGCGCGCCGCCACCGTCATGATCAACTCGCTGCTCAGGGAGCGCGGCGGCGTGCTGCAGGAGAAGGTGAGGTGGCGGCTGCAGCGCCCGCAGCGGCCCCGGCGGCGCCCGCAGCCCGTGGCAGGCCCCGGTGCTGCACGCCGACCGGGTTTTTGTCTAACCTGCTGCCTGGCTTCGAGCAAACCCGGCTCCCCCC